TCATGATCTCTGTTTCCTGTTCAGGAGACAGAAGACGGCCCCGTCCACCTCTTGTTGGTAATCTTTCAGTTCTGCAATACAAAGAGTGCAATACTGTAAATACTGTGTAGGAATACATTTCCCAAATACTCGAAACACAATGTCCTACAGACCAGTCCACAGGTAATACTGTACTACTGTACTCATTGAGTACTGTATTGATATGCAGTACTGCAGTTTTGTAGTGAGAGTAGATTTCTTACCTATTCTCATTGCGGAAAGTCCGGATGATGGATGCTACAGTGTACCTGCTCAAATTTGGCTGCACTCTTTGCCCAGCCTCCCTCATTGTTAGGCCATGGTTGACCACATGGTCAACCAAAGTGGCTCGGATCTCATCAGAAATGATTGTCCTTGGCCTTCCTCGTCCTCGTCCTCGTCCTCGTCCTCCTCTTACTCTCACTCCTCTGGCTCTGGCTCTGCCTCTGTTTACAACCTCCATTGCTCCAAAACAGAAGATCTCACCTGTTGCCCTTTTATGCTAAAGCTCTGACTGCTGTGTGGAAACATGTGTGTTAGGTGTTTGCCCATGTGAGGAGTCAGTGTGCATTAACTTTAGAGTTTTGAATAACAGTGTGTTCCTTGTGAAAACAAAATATTTTCTTCATGACAATTGTGTGTAGAGTTTTGGAAAAAGTGTGTTTTAGAACTGCAATTTGAGTGTAAAGCAGGAATTGTGCTTGTAGTTTAGCAGAATTGGTTCAGGGGGTTGGTGCATGAGTTACATTTTGTGGTCATTGTGTTTCAAGTATCAATATTTGTGTGTAAACAATCAAGAAAAACTGTAATTGTCTCACCTGCTCTTCCTCACTTTCCTCTCCACGTTAGCTCTTTGGTTTCCATTCAGTTTAGTTAAGTAATAAATATAGTTTTATCCAAGATCCCTGAGTTTTTTAAAAGACTGAGCACCTCATGTCACAAAGGGATGATGTTTAAGTGAATGGTTGAGCTCTAAAGCTGAAGCTCTTATGCTAGAGGTTATTAATGAAATACAGGGAATATTTAAAGTATTCTATCTGTGTATTTTGAAAAAAAGTTTTGCTTCTTTAGTTTAAATGAATTTGGTGAGACTCTTCACTCATTATATTCAACATCGCTGTGTGCAAAAGTGCTCCGTTCTTCAATCAGAGTGAGCTCTGATGCCTTTCAGCTTGTGTCACCCGGGACTTTCGGTGGCATGTAGCATGCACAAATAATGAGGATTACCCAAATTCTCTGAAGACATTTAATGGAGAAGGGCTTGTGTAAAGGGTCCATACGCTCAACTGAATAAAACAAGTGTTATTCCCTCAAAAAAAAAAACACTCTCTAACTAGCAGAAATAAATCTTCGAGCCCAAAGCTGCGATTGGATGTGGTCGAGCACTGGTGTGTATTGAGAAATTCCTACAGCTAATCCCTCTATCAGATGTCTGAATTGTGTGAAAGTGATTATGTGCGTGGAAACGCGTGTGAGGCAAAGATAAAGAGCATCTCACTGGAGGAGGATTGTGTGTACAACACAGTGTGTCCGCTCAAGTCTTTGTGTATGGGTGTGAATTTATCTGTGAGGGTTTTCATGTGTGAACATTTGAGGCAAGCAGCGCCTGGGGACTTGATCCTGTGCAGGATGGTGAGAGCGAGTGATGAAGGGAATCATCCAAAGGGATTTCTTAAGTGTTTTGAATAATTAATTAAAAATGTGCGATGATGACACGATTGGTTTTCAAGCATCACTTGTGACTACTTTTAAGAGCGAAACCGTAAATTTGGGGATTTAAAAAAGGATGTTTATCTGTGACAACGAATGAGCTAAAATGGTGAAATGGGGTGTTTAAGTGGTGTGTTTTCCACAGATTACTCGTTGTTTTTAGCTGTACAGGTATATAATGCGCATCTGTGAGTCCATCATGAACATGTGCAGTTTCAATATCTGTAATCTGAACAGGTTATGAAACAATGCAGCAAAATGTAGATTTAAAAGTTTGCATGCAGTCATTGATTTCAAAATCCCAATTATTCTTCAACAGATCAATTCATAACAACACCGTCTTCCCTTGTGTTGTCGGTATTCTCCATTGTATTTTTGTAACTTATATGATCCTAAAAATATCTGACATGCATTTGTTTTACTTTTGTTCCATTTTTTCTCCCCCATTTTGCCTCTCATCCAAAGCCTTACTGACCAGGGCATCCATTAATCAATTAATTAATATTCACTTGTAATGGGTGGGCTGGATTCTCAGTCCACACTGATCAAGGGGAGGTAAGGTGCCCAGTTGGTGTCCAAATGGGAAGACACCGTATAAGCTGCCTGTGTTTTGTGGCTCTGTGACTTTAAATTGGGCTTTCACTTACTATACACACGGGTGTGGAGATTAATTAATTCTATTCATTTTAATGCCTTTAAGGAGCTGCTAATCCAACTAAAACACTTTCATCCCTATCAGTTTCACTTGAGAGTTTGTGTGTCACATCTCAGTCTGAACTCTCTTTCGGAGGCTTCTCCATCAGTAAAAGACAGTCTCCCCGTGTCTTTATGTGTGCCATTCTCTGTTTGCAGGCTGCTCTGATTAGCTGCCCCAAGTTTGCTATCACCCAAAGGCGTGGGCCACCACCGCAGCCAGCATAGTCATAACTGAGATAAAAATGTATTTGCTTTCTCACCCTATATCTCTGCCTGCCACTCTACACCTCCTCCGTCCCCTGTTTTCCCTCCCTTCTCCGTCTCTTGCCTCCTACACGGTGCCTACATGCATTTGTAATTTTTCTTTGTTTCACTGCCATGTAACAGCAGGCCAGGCAGCATCCTGCTCTGAGCTGAAGGGGGGATAGGGAATCCAAAGAAATAACTTTGAATTTGGCTCTTGATGGCATTCATCAAAAGAACACCACCCCACAATGCATCCGTTTATCTATAAGCCAAGCTAATGTGAAAAATAAAAAGTGAATAACTCGGGTGAAGGAACGGAACCAACATGCGAAAATGAACTTAGTCAGTTTCTTTCAAGGAGAAGTGAACCCACTATTTCAGTGATAGCTTTTCCTCTGGCAGAGATTCTCTCCCCAAGCCAACTCTGCTCTCAGTTAAAGGTGTAAGGGTGTTTGACGTTAGATAGGAATTGCCCTGTGACAGAATCAAATTTAATAAGCTTGTGCTTTGATCTGCTTTTTCCCTGCAACAGACTTTGTAAGTTAATGTTTTACAATGGCTTTTTTTTTGGACTTTTCAGTCCTCTATCATATGCTTTTGAATAAAAGTGACCCAGAGAATAAAAAGCGATTCAGATCTGATAATGATTAGATATGACAAAGCCGTCTTTAAACTTAATTGTCTTTTCTGCTAAGATTAGTTTGGAAACAGATGTGATGGTGATGATTGTGAGTTGATGATTGTGAGTCCATCACAGGGCCATGTTTTGGAACATGGGAGCAAACCAGGGTACCTGAAGAGAACATGCAAACACGGCACAGAAATGCCCCCAGCCAGGATTTGAACCGGGAACTAAAAAAAAAGTTCTCATTGATATTTTAAGAAGCTTTGTAGTCCGCTGAAATTGTTCAGCCGTGTTTGGCGCTGAGATTTCTATATTATCTATCGTGCTCATTATTTTTGATGTGCTTTCCCTCCCGCTGTCTCATTTTAAGTGCCTTTTCCTTTGTGGGTGGCTCATAAGGCTTGACTGATTGGCATAGGCCCTCCTTAAAAATGTTGTTTCTATTACTCCGCTGTCACAGATCACTGGCCGGGGACCAGAGTGGCAACAGTGGAGCCGCCTATACATCTCCCAAAGATGCTTATTGAAAGACTGATTTTCTGCTTGTCTGGAACACAAAGACAGCCAGGGGTACACTATTCCTATTGTGAATACAACTAAATTCAACCCATTGTACCAGGAATTCCTTGTGGTCAGAGGACAAAATCATTACTTCTCCTTTTTGATGTTGTTGAGGGAGCATTCCCCCCCAATTTTTGTAAAGCTTTAAGAATGAGTCCTAATGACCTTCTGTGCAACAGAATGGCATGTAATGGCTACCATGTCTTGTCAATAGTACACAAAAGTTGTGGCATGTATTTGTCAAATGATTGACCTGAAAACAGGTATACAGTAGATGTATGTCCATTTCAGGGAGTCATGACATTGCCCCTTTCAAATATTATGGATGCATCAAAACCAAAAAATGTAGTGAGTTATTGATTTTTCATATTCAATATATTTGGATCAAACTGCTTCTCAGGTTATATAAACTTGTTATAATTTTTGCAGTGGTCTTTAACAATATTTGTCCAGGCTTTTTCTGAATCTATTCAAATGTTTTTCTTGAGGTTGTCTACTTGTGGTCAGTGCATACCTTGTATTTACCTTATGTTTTTGGAATGATTTCTTTATTAAACCACTTATTGATATTTGAATAACTTGGCAAAAACTATTTTGGTCCCTTAATGATTTTTTCTTGGCTCTGTAATAGAGTTAATGATGACAATAAAGTAAATTGTAATTGACAATAGAGCAGTGACATCCTCTGGTAGACTATTGCATCATCTGAAAACTGTCTGAGTGAATTTATAATTACTGTACGCCATATGCATTTGCTGTTCATGCACAGCCTTTGTTGCAATATTTGACCACAACCTGCACCATTTATATTGATCTGTAGTTATTAGTTCACTAAAAGAGACTTAAAAATGTAACAAAAAAAGTATTATGTAATATAGTTAATTATTTCTTGTTTTTTTTGTGTGTAGTATTTTTTTTTAAAAAGACGCTGTATATTGCAAAAATGTATATTTTTCGCTAAAATGTGGACAAAGGTCTTCGCTCCAATAAAGTTTACGACGGTTGCTACGACAGTGACTCCTTTACGGTAGGCATGTGTTTGTGGACAGCTTGTAGCTAACCATTTAGCTTGTCGTGCAGTCTCTATACATATATCAGAAAAATTATTATACGGTGCCTGCTCTTAAGAGTTTCAAAGTTTCAAATGGACGTTGGAGAGCTCCTCAACTATCAGGTATATATCTTTTTTTGATGGTCGATGTTAGATAAAAACCTACGTCGATTACTGTAAGTTTTCTGATTCATTTTTTTGAATAAAAAAACAACTCAAAGTTATGAATAAACGTTAAAGAACAGCAGGCTTGCGGTTATTTGGTGTTGTTTGTTTAATTAGATGTCTGTAAATTGTCTGTATGTTGCCCCTGAAGCACGAATGAACATCTTAGTCCTGGTAAATGAGTGGATAACTTCCAAAGTAAACACGCTAGCTAACAAGATGCTGCAATGTAGGCAATGTCGGTAATGTTTTTCATTGCTATATTTGAATTTTCCCGTTTTTAAAAAGCATTTCGTTTCTCGTTTTTTAAATATTCGTGTATTTATGTCAAGAATTGCATGTAAAGTGTTAAACATCCGTTTTCGTCTATTTCTATCTTCTTCGTCTTCTTATTAGGATAAACCTAAAATCGCTCGAATTATTTGCATGATTCTTATACTAATATTATCATTAAAGTGTATTTGATGTTTTTCTGTTGGATTTTCTCATGGCTGAATTGGTTTGAACTTTATGTAAGCATTATTCTTAAATTATATTATCTAAATATAATAGATTACTATTCTCAGTGTACATAGTCCATTCAGAAACATGCATCCACTGATATTTTAATTAGTAATTTGCCTCAGTATAAAATAAAGACTGGAAAAGTTATATGAAATCTCAATGCATTGATGTGGAAGTTGCCTTTTTAAAATAAATACCAAGCACATGAAAGTATTGAACGCGTGGCATGTGGTGCATTTTAAGCGTTATAATAGAATTTAATAGCATAACATGGGTAAAGTTGATGATATGTATGAGTTAACTTCCTCATTGGTGTCATAATCAAAGATTCCTCACAAGAGCATGTTTAGCTAAACCATTAATACAATATACATTTTTTTTCTTTCAACTTCCCCGTCCTCTTCCATCCTTTCAGCCCGATAGAGGAGCAAAGCGTCCCAGGGGGGAAGATGAAGGAGCAGCAGGAGGAGAGGAGGACTCCAGAGGAGGGAAACAGAAAGGGCTGGGTGCTCGGGAGCTGGCCAGATATCGGGAAAGTGTCGCTGAGATGAGGGAGACTGACGAGATGACTGAGGACAAGAAGAAGATCCTGGACAAACTGATGGACCAGGATGAAGAGGAACCAGAGGTTGGGGAAATCAGATATTGTTGCATTTTAAGTGATCTTCACTCTGCCTTCTTGGAACAAGAATAAATTAAAAATAAATACAGCTATGTTGCAACATTTCCAGGCATTGACTCTTGTAGTTCATCTGAAGTATTTCTTTCGCATTTAGTGAGCTGTAAAGCTGGATTTACACTCCTAAATCACGCTGACAACAGCGTACCTGTGTAGGTGTTTAAGCTCCTGTTTAGCTGCAGCTGTGACACTCTTTGAAATGGAATGACTTGAGGCTGTGCTGGTTGGTTGTCGTGCCACTCTTTACACACTCCTTACACACATTTCACAACGCTTTCCTCTTCCAGTCACTTGTTGACAATAAACAAATGGCGCCTTCATGTTGGATTCACTCCATAAACCGAAATAAAAGTTTCTTTTGATTAAATTGACAACCTTTAACTTTGGACAACACCATTTTACACAGCTGATTTGAGAAGTAATACTACCCTGTTAAAAAAACTGAATTAGTCTGTATGCATTGCAGTTTGAGTTGGATAGTCTCCATTATATGAACTAACTAACAAACTCTGTCAGATGTAGTTTTCTGTCAGCCGTCCTTGCTCGTCAGCAGCTTTGTTGCCTTTGCCCATATTTGTTCTACTCTTCACATCTTTCCTTTCAGTCAGTCTGTTAATCTCATTAAACCCAGAGATGGGCAGACCGTGTCCCTCTTTTGCAGGGAAGAAATGTAAAACTTGCCCTTTTTATCTGAGGGTGCATGGAGCCCTAAGAGGAAAGCCCTGGTTAACAAAGAAAGCACCTTTTATCGCTGTTTGGCGTTTTAGGCTTTGCGAAGACATCTAGCACAAAGAAAACAGCTGAGTTGAAGTTGCTTCGTAGAACATCCTTCAGGTGAGGTTGTTGTCAGTGGCATTAGCTTAAAAAAAACTATGAGATGTCTCATAGTCCATGGGACGTGTGACACCGTGATGTAGCCCAGCTGTAGAGTTAACAGCGTTTAAAGGCTTCCTCATTCCGGTGCTTTTGAAATGTCATCCATGCTTTAGTCCTTATTATTCCACACTGCACCCTTTCCAAAGATTTGCTTTGTCAAGAGGCACTAAAGCTAAAGAGCTGCTCCGTTCCATAAAGGCAGACAGTGGAAATGTCCTAACCGGCCATTATCCGTCCAGCACTTTACAGCTTTCAAACCATCACGAGGTCAAACGAATTCCCTTTTCAGTGAGATGTACCCATATCGCCCCTGGTTAAATAAATAAAAAAAACTCGATTCTCTGTTCAACCTGATGTCTCTTTGTCTATTAGAGCAGCTGCCTCAATAAAAATCTCTTTTTTTTCTCCCCAATTTCCTGCTGTCATCTTTTTTCGCCCCTCTCTTCTTTGCCTCCTGGACTAATCAAACAGGCGGAGCCAGTTGATGAGAGCTCAGTGAAGAAAATGATCCTGACCTTTGAGAAGAGGTCTTACAAAAACCAGGAGCTGAGGATAAAGTTTCCCGACAATCCAGAGAAGTAAGAACATTACAGACGGTGCTTATTGTTTCACTTTATAGGTCAAATTTGAGTGCCTCTCAACCTAAACTGTGTAGATAAGGTACTGCATACCCAGTAAAAACGTTCTGGACCTGCTGAGGCTTGTTACAGATTTTCTGGAGCTTCACACTGTATTGAGATACTTCTCTGTGGTTTAAGAACATTTTTTCCATCGCTTTCCTGTCTTTCCAACCAGGTTTATGGAGTCAGAGCTGGATTTGAACGACATCATCCAAGAAATGCACGTGATCGCCACGATGCCGGACCTCTACCACCTGCTGGTGGAGCTGAACGCCGTCCACTCGCTGCTGGGCCTTCTCAGCCACGAAAACACAGATATCCTTCTACACACGGGTACCAAGCTGCAACCCTGCTTGTGTACTACGGAGCTTGATTAACTTCCGAAAAGGCGCTCAGCCATTTCGTATTTTTCCTCCCCGTCAAAATCGATCCGATCACAAGTTGAGTGACGCGTGCTGAAGGTGTGAAACCACTGAGTGGGTTCAACCCAACACGCGCCACCTACCCCACAGTTCACAGCTCCCCTTCCCTGATCTGGTGATCTAGTTTTCCATCAGATTTGCAGTTTAGGCGGGGCTGTTCCAAATTACGGCAATTTATGGACGGAGCACACAGATTCTCAGATTTCTGTCAGTCTTGGATTTTTTTAGATTGAACAAATTTTGATGGAGTTACGATATCAATCGGAAGCATAACTGCAGGTAAAGGGTTAAAGAGCCACAGTAAAAGATTGTTGAATTTTCTCAGCCTTAACGAATGTTATTAAGTAGAAGGTCACAAACAACTGATTGAAATACAACTGTATTATTCATTAGTAGGATTTTCAGTGATTGATTAAAAAATTTAAATGTAAGGCAGCTAAAAAACACAAAGACAAAAAGCTGAACAGATAAGGGGGCTTAGATTTGGGATGCGTCTCCCAGCAGCTCAAGAGCAGGATAAGTTGGATTGTGTGTTGGTGGGGGTCCTTAACCGGCAGCACATGTGGCCATAGCGGTGGTGGACCTGCTGCAGGAGCTGACCGATATCGACACGCTGCACGAGAGCGAGGAGGGGGCCGAGGTCCTCATAGATGCTCTGGTGAGTTCAGGATTCACTTTGTTTTTGTGATATTGACAGAACAACACTTGATGGATCAATTCTCAAGTTTCCCCGCTCCGGCTTCCAAAGGAGGCAGAAGAAGATCGATTCCTTTTTCTTTTTTTTGTTCTTGAGTGAACTAAAAGTCGAACTTCTGACACGCAGACAATTATGTTTTTTGTTTAGAATCTTCTGGGCTGAAGTTTTGTGGCGTATTTCTTTTGAGGAATTTAGTTCTAAAAGGAAAACATCTAACTTTTTATTTTTTCAAACTATGAGAAGCTAAAAATGTTTGTTTTTTACACAGTTTGAATCATATTTAATGTGGGGTTGGTGACAGCTTTTCTGCCACCAGCTTGGTGTTTTCTTATTCGATCTGCTTGTTTTCCGCTCGTTTCGCCTATTTAACCCTCCCACCTTTTATCTTTTTTGTAGCTTGGCTAGTCGGGCCGCCTGCGAAGCAGAGAGACCCGTAGATAAGGGGCTATCAATACTGCTGATATCCCATTATGTTTTCTTGCATTTACAGCGACACAAACAAAGGTCGAACTACATTAATGCACAGTTCTACCTTTTAGTGGAGGGAAGTTCTGAGCACCTGCTCTTTCACAGCTGTCACAGTGTCTCCTCTCAGAGAATCTGTTGGCTTGAGCCTCTTTGCTGTGAATTATTACATTACCCTCATGTCTCACAGGCCTTTGAGCCATCAGAGCAAATATTCCGACTGTCACTTCCTTTCTGATGTTCAGATTTTCCCCTAAAACCACAACTGTGAAACCCCTCAGCCGGTAAAAAAAACAGAAAAAGAAAAAAAAGAGCACGTCTATTTTGATGTTTCCAGATTTTGGTAAATGCATCTCTTCAAGTCAAATATCTGTGACTTAACTTAGCTCAGAGTTTGTTGATGGTGTGAATTATTTGATAACAGGAGTGAGTCGGTGACTTAATTGACTCTAATTCAACCAACACATAGAAAGAGCTGTTTCCAAACCAGAAGCAGTTAGCTTAATGAGACACCCTTTAAAGGTCCAGTTTGCTTTTCTAAGGGCTGGTGGGCCACCATAAAGTAGTCATTACATAATTGTTTGCGTTTCAACCCAGTTTGCATTTCATTTGAAGAACTTTTTATTTATTTATTTATTTTTTACTGTTACTGAGTTAAAGGAAAAACTAGTATGTTTTAAAAATTTTCTCTCCTAAGCGGTGTTTTAATATCTCCAGATGGCCCACTGTTTGTGCAAGTGGTGCTCGATCTGTCAGTGTTGCCTGTCGGTGTTTGGAAAGCCTGCTAGAAACGACATAAGAAACTTCGGAAGATGGCACAGAGACCGTTCCCAAACACCGGCGGCTGTTGGCGATAGGAGTTAGAAAGCTCCGTGGCAGTATTAAAACTTTACGGCAGGAAAAATGAGACAACCAAGGACCTCACAGTGCCCACACCCAGGCTGAAACTATTTGTAGCTTTTAAGGTTTTCACCAGACTGGCCATTGCTCTGTTCTTTAAATGGTGCTCTTACAGTTTCAGTTGGTTTAATCTCCCCCTTTTCCTTGAAGGAAACTGTTATTAGTGTTGCTCTGACAGCACTTCTTTTGTTTTGGACTGGCTTTTTCTGGCCAAGAATAATTGCAGAAGCAGTGGAACAAATATGGAAAAAACCAAAACAACCCCCCACCAAAAACTGGTCAACAGCAGCATAAAAAAGAAGGTCTGTGAATTTGTGAACGCCGGTGGGTGAGAAAGCAGCTCAGGTGGCTTTGCAGCGCTCCCAGGATAAAGGGACGATATAAATACGATCGATTTACCGTGCAGTGGAGCGGCTGTAACCTCACTGGGGTTTTTACAGCTTTTTCCGAGGGGAGGCAGTTTCAGGGCAGCGAGGGTTGGTTGATTCCATTTGTCTCCACCCTGCGCTGTTCCGCTCGCAGCTCCTCTGTCCTTGCTGCCAGAAGGCCAGGTGCTATCCATGATAAGACGAATGGAGATGATTCACAACCATCTCCACGGCTCATCAATCAGCTTTGACTGTCGGTCTTCTTTAATGCGCAATAGTACTTTTATCCAGGCCCCCGGCGCCCCACAGTCTCTGTTTGGTTAGGAGTTCCCAAATCTTGACTTGACTGATGATGCCAGGTCTGCTCTGCCGAATCGTGCACCCAAGAGTGAACCGTGGCTCTGCTGTCACCTACATAGTTTCCTTTGTCAAATGTCCCTTAAAATGTATCGTCATATTGCAAGATTTGCAGAAACGTCCAGCTGCAAAAGAAAGCTAAGTAATGTGATGTAGGAACTGGAAAAAGTTTTCCTGTGAACGAATTATCTGCTATGATAGCACTTGCTAATGGGAAGAAATGTGTGTTTTCACCTGCACACACACACACTAGCAAACTTTCCCTGTGGTGCACACCACGGTTGATCTTTGATATTCTACAATAGTAATTTCCACCGTACGTCTCCCACAAATGTGTCTGACCTGAGCTCCGTTTGGTTTGTAGTTGGAGGGTCAGGTGGTGGCCCTGTTGGTGCAGAACATGGAGCGTCTGGACGAACAGGTGAAGGAGGAGGCCGACGGCATCTACAACACACTGGGTAAGGAGAGAACTCTCACAGAGACTTTCAACGCCATCGGCATAAACCTCCAACTACTTTTAATGATGCACCAAATTCATTCTTAAGCCTTTCTGCATCCAGGTTTTCTTCAGATGATCTGAGTTAAGTTCAATAGTTGTTAAGTGCTCTTAACAACAGTATACACAATAAGAACTTGAATAAAAGCAACTGGAGTTCTCCTTGGATCTTGAAGACATATCACCGCTCATCCAAAAGGCATCTAGAGACTTGCGGACGCCTTTTGGATGAGAGGTGAAACAATCTTTAAAATCCAAGAATAACTCCAGCTGCTTTGATACAGGATCTTTGGATTGCCGTGACCCGGATGACTAAACAACGATAAAGATCGGTGGTTTATCCGGCGTGTCGGCCGTTTGAACAGATACTGCCGGATGGGGCTGATCACAGCTGTGTCGACAGGAGTAGATGGATTAACGGAGATATTTACCCAGGAGCACGCCGGTTACAGTAACTCCTCTGTCGTCTGTCAGCTGCTAACAAAACACACAGAAAAAACAGTCGGATTTGGCGTTCAGTCCTCAAATATTCATCATTTTTTTAGCTGAATCCTAGAGCCGATAGACTGACCCAACAAAAGCAGCCGCGAAAGATAAAAAGTTAAAAAAAAAACAGTATAAAAGTAAGATTATACTCGGTTTTCTCTGCTCCTTTTACCAGTGTGCCGTGTTGGTTTATCAGAGTTAAGTAAACTGTAACGTTGATATTCATCTTTCAAACCATTTCTTTGTGGTTAGTTTAAGCGCAGCTTGTAGATGCCTGATTGGAACGGTGCAACTGTTCATTTTAATGGTCCTGAAGTTTAGCTCCAAGCCCTTCAGTTTCTCCATCCATTCCATGAAAGGTTTAGATACCATCGGCAGATGGAAAACTCAAAATTTTCTCAGTGATGTTTACATGATAAACACATATAACTGTGTAAGATCTTCACTGCTGACAGAAATATGCCAGACGATGGAAAGCTGTTCACCACAGGAACAAGATCACGTTGGGTTTAGTTGCTTTCCTCAGAGGTCAACATTATGCAGGGCCCAACATTGTTCACCAACTGTCGGAGAAAAAAAAGTTAGTTTTCTGGATCTAAAGAACATTTGACAGGATTAAATGTAGACACAAGGTCTGGGGGAGGACACAGGCTAGCCGGTAGTTTGAAAAGTCGTGGCCTTTGTGTTTAGCCTCACATGAATCAGACTTTTTCTGCCTCTCAGCTCTTTTTGTGGTAAATGAGTCTACTGAGGAGATTTCTTATTCTTTGTTGCCAGATTGAGGCCAAGTGTCTGGAGGGCTGTTTAGGTGTGTGTATGTAGCTCGTTTTGAGGGAGCAACACTTGTGCATCCTCTGTTCGAGCTTTTTGTGTATGTGTGTGTGTGTGTGTGTTATCAAGGGAGCTCTCCAAACTTGAATAAGCCTTTTGTCTGCCTTGGCTGCTTTCTGTTCTGGGCCTGCTGTCCTCCAGGATGCCGCCTGTCTGCTCTGTTTGAATCACTGATAAAGGGCCTTCGTCTCTCCTCCCCCGGTGTCGTCTCCCCCATCATTTCTCTTTCATTTGCCGCCGCTCTATCCAGATGTTGCGTTTTGTTTAGTCGTTTGTATTCCCTCGCAAAACCATCAGCATTTTGTGGTCCGTTTACGTCCTGAGTGACTCATGTCTGAGGTCGGTTATTCGCTTAGTTTCACGGCCTTCATCTTCAACGAGTCTTCCCTCCCCTCTGCTTCTTTCCTCCTCTCCTCCCTTGTTTCATGACCATCATACAGTTTCTGCTTCCACCCAATCAAGTACCGGAGACATAAAAAGAGAAAAGAAAAAAGGACATTTCTAATGGTCACATGCTGATATTTGATGACTAAGACCTATGGTGTACAGGGATGTAAGACTTTGTGTTTGAGGAAGAGCCTTTTCAGAGAAACTTGACTTAACGAGTCGTTAAGTCTTTATTTTTGATGACGTGTGTCAGATTCCATCTCCCATCTATCCAGCCTTTCTCACCTTTTCCTAATATCCTGATTACATCATCTATCCATTATCGTTACAGCTCACAGTATATATATATATATATATAAGTGACCAGTCCATCTCGGAGTCATCAATCTTTGATAATCATTCTAATGGGGTGCTCAAAAGCCCACTTGTGTCAAGTTACACTATTCCAGCATGCAAAGCCACAACTTTCTAGCTGAAAGGCAAAGTGGCTTAATAAAGCATGGCTTCCAGCCAGCTGAATTAAGCTTGTGTCGTAAAATGCTTAAACTTACCCAGGGGTGCTTTCGCCAGCTGGCCCAACGTCTTTAAGGTTGAATCCAGTTATTTTAGTTGTCATGTTCTGTCCTCTGCAGCTATCGTGGAGAACATGGCGGAGTTCAGACCCGGCCTGTGCACCGAGGCCGCCCAGCAGGGGCTCATGCAGTGGCTGCTCAAGAGAATCAAGGTAGGAACCGACAACCTCCTCGTAAAGTCATACAGATTAGATTCTGTTTCTTTATTGTATTAATCAGTCAGACCAACAACTACAATATATGCTGGTGGAAATAGGACAAATCGTAAATAGCATAAAATGTAAGCTGCTAGTCAGACTTTACGCTAGTTACAAATGTTTAATCGGTAAACATAAAATTAGACAAGATGGTAGCTTATTTGATAACTCACTGGAGATGATGGGATGTTTTTTTTTGTGTTTGTATTTGTCAAATAAGATGCAAAAGATCTTTGATAAAACTGCCTGGCTACACAGCTATCAGCTCTTGTTTTAACTAGTTCATCTACTCTGAAATAATTGTCATCTTCCTGATCTCATCTAAGATTCCCTTCTGATTGCAATTGTTATTGCAGCTATAACTCATTTCTGTGTTTTAAGTCTCTGGTCGTTCAGAGTGAACAACAGGAAGCTAAAATATTCTTTACAAACGCTGTGTGTCTCTGCTTTTTGTACTGCATGAAGCACATCTTTTCCCGAGGTTACGAAATGCAGGTCTTTCCATGCAGGATACACTTTCTAACTCTCTGGAGAACAGAGTTTCTCAAGATGAGTGGTAATTAGAATTCGCTCTCTTTCCCTCTCAGGCAAAGATGCCGTTTGATGCTAACAAGCTGTACTGCAGTGAAATCCTGGCCATCTTACTGCAGAATAACGACAGTAAGTGTGCATCAGGAAACATCTGCAGGTTCAGAATCATGTCCCACCATTCAGGATCAGCCTACCACGTCCTTTCCCTCCTTTATTTTTATCCTTTTTTGTTACATTTTCTTCTCTTGAACTCCTGTTTTCTCCCACCTTGTCCACTCGGTTTTAAATCCCTGGTAAAGCTTCAGATAGCCACTGGACCATCGGCTCTTCGGACAGGCCCTCATTAAAGGCACGAGACACATTGACATGCAGACAGGGGGCGTTTCTTATTTTCCACTCACGCCGCCATTCTTTCTCAGCCAAAGCATAATAAAACACATGTGAAACTCCCAATTTTTCCACAGAACAAAGTGCACCAGCTGTCAGCGGTGACGTCTCAGACTTTCTATCATCACAACAGAGCAAATCACACAATTAGCATTTAAGAAGTGACAGTTTGTTAACTTCTTTGAAGTGCTAATTATATCCTGCTGCTGAATCTTGATGTCAAATTTGGATTTGACAGGTAAAGAGTGAAGATGAATAGTCATCTTCGAAATGTTGTGTAATATATAAATTCTACATGGAGTAATTAGAGAGGAACTTGTATTTCAGAGCTCTGATTTCCTCACACCTTTCTCCTCTACTTCCTCCTTACTATTTCTAAAATGTCTTGTCTTTTTTTGTTTTTTGCAGCCTTGTAAATCCATTTTTCTTGTGGCTGCATTGTCTTGTAATCTTTCACCGTCTGTTTTCTCCTTTTTGCAGGCACCAGGGAACTACTGGGTGAGATGGATGGCATCGACGTGTTATTGCAGCAACTATCCGTAAGATTTAGATTTATTTAGATTTCCTCACTATTTCCTGTATTTTCCTCCTACTGAGATGCATTTCCAAACATCATCTCTTTAAGTCAGATTGTAGTAAAGCCTTTATTTCTCAAACCATAGTTGGATAAAAGGCTATTTGAAAGCAAGTTTTTGTACGGTTTTCAGTGTCTGATTGGCCCCGCCCATCCACTCCCACTCAATATGGAGCTTTGTGCCCAAAGGACACATTTACTTGACTGTGTTTTTACTTGCATTATTGTCTTTCTCTCCTCTTCAGTATTAATGTAAATTTGTTTCAAATATGCTAACCTCTCATAGGTAATAAACATCTGTGCTTTTTTCTCTCTTTAAGGTGTTCAAGCGCCACAATCCGAACACCGCTGAGGAGCAGGAGATGATGGAGAACCTGTTTGACGCTCTCTGTTCCTGCCTCATGCTGCCCTCCAATAGGGACCGCTTCCTGAGAGGAGAGGGCCTTCAGCTGATGAATCTCATGCTCAGGTGAGGGTAGATCATTTAGGGTTTGTATCTGGCTCAGTCCGTCCATCTCTTTAATATGAACCGAATCGTGGCATCATCCCAGTGACGTTAATTGTTTTTCGTCTTTGGATGTTTTTCTGGGTTCAGCTTTAACAAAGAGGAATTTCTGGGTGCTGAATGCTGGGATGTGTTACAGTTTCCTGTGTACCATATCGTTAGCGCAGGGGATGCTGAAAGGGTTAGACGACCACATGGCTGTGGCCCTCCTACTGGATCTGTTTTCACCTTTTCAAAGTCTTTTAACATCCTAATGTTGTAGATGCGAATTACATTTCGGCCAGCGGTGACCCAAACACCTGGGGCTCCTTTTAATTTGAAAAAAAGAGATGATTTCAGCCCTGCTCATGTTGCATTTTGTAATGCAGTGTTTGGTTCAGGATAGAGTAAACAGGTCTACTAATTGTCATGCAGTTCTATGGAAAAATTAGGCTGCATGAATTAGGGTCCATGGTGAAAGGCAAGATGACCACTTTATTGATCTCAATCTCATCTCATCTGTTCTGGAGGTGAAGTTTACCCACGATCCTAAGCAACTTTTAAACACGGAAGGGAGCTTCAACTTCAACAACGCACAGTCTGCCCATAAAAATAAATAAATGGGTGTTCTCGTTTGCCTCTTAGAGGATTGTCACCATGGGAAGGGCAGAGATAGACATGTTGTCGGCCTGTTTTTTATCCTTTTTCACCACAATCAGAGGGAGTGCGCTCCGCAGCGGAAACATAAGGAAGAGCTTGTCAGCTTCTTTTGCTTCAAATCTACTTTAAGTAATCCATGCTCTGGTAATCTTTGGGAAAAACTCAGAGATTAGCTCAGAGTAAATTGCTTTCCTGTGATGATCCATGTTCTGTCTCCTTATTCATTCAGGGGCTCCCAAATTAGACGTCTGACTTTGGATGTTGTGTTTACTGACGTAACTCCCATTTACGGGCTAAAACTTAGAATCTCCTGGAAATCTCCTGTCTGCTGGAAGAGACTCAAACGGCTCAAATGCAGCTTTAGATTAGTTTTTACTACTGTTACAATTTATCTGGCAAGATAGGGAGTCTAAATATATTTTCTGTATTCTTTATGGCTTTTTAGATGAAGGAAAGTTCCAGTTTTGCTCTGATACTACTTTTCCATTCCGGAATATGATGGTCGACACATGGAGAGAGGAGGGAAATATTTGGCTATTGAGTAATGCCATTACTTCTTAATCAGTGAGCAGAGAGAGAACCAGATTGGAGCTCCAGAACATTAACCTTTGTGTTAGAAACTTAGACCCTTTACAGGTTTTTGTGTTTGCTTGAGTTCAGATTCTTCTTTAATGCTCCGCTGCCTAAATGCAAAAAAAAAAAAAAAAATCAATAGAAAATTACCATTCATGCATTATACAGTTGAAGTGACCTTATTTGCCCTTTTACATGCCCTTACTTTTGGATTCATCAGAGTCACAGACATGGAAACAGTATTGTTTGGCAAAACTACAGTTAAATGATGATTGTGGTCTTTCTTTTTTGTACTGAAAACATTCAGTACAGAAACCTACCTACCAGAAACCTTAAAACACACAAACTGCTCTTCCAAGCTCCGTTCAGAGCTTTTTATTACTTTCTTTGTACATCTGTCTACTTTATTGCCTTTCGAAAGGGGCCAGATTGATCCTATCAATCAGCAGTTGGTGGAGAGCATCGAGGCAGCGATCTGACCTTAAAGACTCATAACGCCGCATTACACGCATTTATGAAAGTCTCAGCCTCTGCTCCCGTGCGGTGATAATCACATCAGTGGACACGCAGATTTAAGAGCTGGATCAATATCTCATTATGGGAATGCAAAACCCTTTTCTCTGTTCTGATCATCCTCCGGGGAGAGTAAAAAAGAATGAAAGAAGAGCCCAATAAAGACGAGGCGCAAGAACAGAGCAAGAAATGACTTTATTAAACTGTTCGCCGCTTGGGTTCCATGTTGTTTTGTTGTCTTAACGGACCGAACCGTGCACGGGCGTGGTGTGAGACGGGGGGTTCCTTATTAAGCTGAGGGGTAACCCACGCCGTCTATCTCACAGATAACTGTAATTATTCACACAATCTGTACCTTTTCCCACACAAATGATAAAACCTCCAGTTTTTTTAAACCTGTCTAATTCCAGTTTTAATGTTGCAAAAATGACAGAACCCATGACAAACAGCATGAGACACTTCCATTAAAAACTCAATTTCAGCCTGTTGGCTCGTAAAAGATATCAGTCCTGGTTTCTTGATTAGTTTCCGGCTCACGCAAATGTGTGCAGGAGGCTGCAGCTCCAGCTGAATCTGAGAGCTGCAAAGTTTGACTTTTCCCCTAACAGATAAATGTCGGAGGAACTGGAAACCAGGTCGATTCTTCCAAATTTTCGACGTTTCAGCATTAAAAAAACACAAAAAAAAGAAACAAGAGCATTTTATTTTTATTTTTTCAAACGATGTGTTAAAACCAAATCCGTTTCTGAACGCCTCAGCCCGTGTTTGGGTTTTATTTCAGGGAGATAACCCTTCAGCCGGCTCTAGATTCTTCTCTCATCGTAAACGGACACATAGCTGGTATCCACTTTGGCAGAACGTCCATTTCAGGGCAGCTCACGACATCAGGACAGTGAGTTACGTCTGCTGTCGGCCAGCCGAATTGCCTTAGTTTGGCTTTGGAAAGTATACTGCATATCATTCCCGCCTGCCCTCCCCGGCCGTCCATCATGTGTAATGTGTCTGTCTGCAGGACCAGACACAACTGCCTGAAATATGTGTTCCCCCTCCCAGATAAACACTGTCATATGTCACCGGTGGAAATGGGGGAAGTGACACTCTGACAGACAGCTACATTTCCTTGGGTTGGGTGTGGGGGGGTTAGTGGGGTGTACACTGAGTAAGAAACATCTGATTCTGCTTATCATCCCAATGGTTTTGATGATAAATAAAAAGATTCGTAATGTATGGCTGGATTTGATTGACGGAACACTTGTCCTAAAAATGTTGTCTCTATTTCTGTTATTCAGCTTTATTTTTGACCCAATGTGAATTATAGCCCAGTTTGCTTCAGCCAAATGCTGCACTGTGAAGTCCAAGACGAACTTTTCTGAGGCTGAGAGAACCGTTTTCATTCAGAATACTTTCTCTCTTTTGTTCCCAGATGATGACAGTTTTTTCAAACAGGAGACCCATATAGAATTAATATAGCCTTATTATAGCATGAGTCCTTTGCAGTTTTCCTTTTGGACTTGTAATTTAATATTCAAACCATTTCAAGCAAATCTATGATTAAATTGATTTGAAAATGATCTTTTTAAGATTTAGATGTCAATAATGTCTCATTAAGACTGCAAAACAGCTGGATTATTATGTTTTTGAGCACACATTTTAGTTTTTTTTCCCCCAGAAAATTGCTGAATTTTGTGACAATTAGCCCTACCATCCTTAAATTTCAATTCCAAATTCCAAAGTGCTTTAAAAAAAAATCTCCAGAAAACCTTAACATATAAAATTCTTATCTAGTTCATTTGAAAGTGGGATGGTTGTGGTGGTGATGAAATGTTACACCTATTTTAGGATACATTTGCAAAGTGCGTCTTTTTGTTGTTGTTGTACTATTGATGTTTTTTCTCTTTGATGCAGGGAAAAAAAGATGTCCCGGACCAGTGCTCTGAAGGTGCTGGATCATGGCATGATTGGACCAGAAGGAGCAGATAACTGCCATAAATTTGTGGACATCCTGGGCTTGAGGACCATATTCCCACTTTTCATGAAAACCCCCAAGAAGATGAAGAAAACTGGTAATTCAGAGAAAGAACACGAAGGTTAGTCATCATAAAGCAGTTTCATGGCTTCTGTGCAATGAAAAAATGAACAATATTAGCATCAATAGTAATTGGATAAGTAATGTGATCTATTTCTATTGTTAATTAAAAGGAAATTTCTTGTTTTCTTGCTTGTTGTTGGTCAGTTGGCAGTCCCAGCCTTTCTCTAGTGACACACTGGGTCCCAGTACGACCATTAATCATGGTTGGCCGCCTCTTTAGCCCGTCAGTTTACACTATCAATCCAGTCGTGATTGATTTTCCTGTCTGTGCTCTCGAACCTGTCTTCTGTCCGGGTGAGGGAAAGGAAATGCAAACGAGAGTTAGAGAACGAAGACACGGAACAAAAGAGTCATAGGTCCATGTTACTCTGGACAAGAGAAGAAAATGGAGAATAGTGTGTGGAAGCCTCATCCGGCCGCCCGCGTTGTTTGTTTACCTGCAGGCAGAATGAGAAACGCCTCCCCTTTCACGTCTGAATTAATTACGTTTTATACGTCCACTGGGTGTTTTTTTTTTGTCTCCACAGAGGAGAACAAATTGTGTTCCTTTGTGTCTCGTATCACGCAGAGCGTGGTTGAATTAACTCTTGTCCCTTTTGAGGGGCAGGAGGAACAGTTTGGAAGATAAACCTGTCTGCCAGCCAGTGCTCCCGCCCACACTGCAGTCAGCAGAGAGACAGACAGACTCAGGAAAGACGGGCCTAAGATGAGATGGGGAACTCCATCCTGAAAGATATCCAGTAAAGCTTTGGAAAGCAAGCTGGCCGCTTTCCTCTGAACCCTCCCAGAAACCAGGAATTCCACCATGTTTGAGGTGTGGAGGTTTTACGGCGGAAGATTAGGAAATGTTCCAAAATATAATGGAAATACATACTTTTAAATGTATCAGAGAGAATTTTATGACTGTCTGAGAACATTGACTTAAGAGCTTTTGATCATATGAGTTACTTAACCTCAGAGGCCGTGGTATTGATTCATTTTAACACAAAAAATGGACACGTTCACCTTAATTATTGGGCTAAGATAAATGTGATCGGTTTGAATATTCAGGCTTTCTTTGTTAAGTTCCTCTTTTTTCCTCATTCTTCGTGACAAGAGCCGGTAAAGGAATTTCCATTGAGCCTTCAGTAATTTGTGGAACAGCTGTAGGTGTAATGGGACGGCTGTCATAATGGAAGACGTATCGAGTGAGCCATCCCTCTCTGTAAGGCTACTAATTAAAAATGCCATTAATCAAGTGGTCCTCCTGAACGAGACAATAACACAGTAGATTAATTAACTATCATGTGCTTCAAACAAAAGTAATTATGAGGTAGCGACCGTGCTGTCCCCCTGTCCTTAGTCCGGCCTCTTTTTCAACATTCCCTTCATCGCTTTCTGTATCAGAAGATTCGGTTTAAACGTCGTCTCCAGTGGAGTCCCTTCTGAAACTAAAACAGCCCCAACCATCTGAGATTGCCAGGCCACATTAGCATAGAGAACGGTATAATTAATAGAGACATCGTAAGCGAGAAAGGAAAAAATAAATAAATAAAAAAGGAAAGAAATTGAAAAAGAGAGAATCCAAACAACAAATTGTATTTGCCCGTGCACGCATGAGTATTCTTGTCACAACACTGCGAGTCGTTTTAGGGTCTCAGTTTATCGGTGTATGTGCTTCGTCATTACCAGTGAAATGAAATTGTGTGATGGAAAATTGGTGGCAGCCGGCTGTTATGTTTAGGTAGCTAATGATGCAAGCGAATGTGAGAGGGAACAGAAGTAAACAGCTAATTTACATGGAGAGGCACCAAAGTCCTGGCTCCGTCTCGGAAGGTGTTCCTTTGTGTGCCACGCGTTGATGTAGAGCAAGCGCACAACAGGTTTTCCTTTGTTCTGGATATGATTTGAATGCCACACTAAAAACCTTCCAGTGCGGTGAGTTTCTGTATCGTGGCCATTTTTTCTTTTTTTTCTTCCGATGAGTGAGGCTTGCTGACAGGAAAAATGCCTAAATTAGAGGAACTGAATTTCTGTCCTCAGTAGCTCTCATTGAGGGTCAATCTAACTGAAACAGACCCTTCCACCTCCTACTCCAAAGAGGAAATAAAAAAAAAAGCTTAAAATGTTTTGTGCAAAGACAAAACATGTCATTGTTTCCCCGTAAGAATAATAAACTCACTTTTTTCCCTTTTAGAGAATAATGATAAGAAATATAGCACCAGAGATAAATGACCATTCAGGATATTTGGATTTAACAACAAAACTTTAGTCACACATTTGAATCAAAAGCAGGGAATAAAAGTACATCTCTGGCTAAATCCCCCCCCCCCCAGCAACAAGTGCCGCTGGCTTATTTAGATCAGGGACGTTTTACATGACGCAAATGTGATTGTAATCGTTGTTGTCACAGTCGTCCTGTTTAATCCTGTTATTAGTGTTTCAGAGGGTGAGATTTGCCGTTAGATCCTTGTGTAAAGATGTATCTAATTAGCATCTCTTCCACCTATGGTCTCTCCTCTCGTGGGGACCCATCATGTCTTGTGTCTGTGAGCTTACACACTAATGAAATATGCAGTGACATATTGTGTTTTTTTTTTTAGACACTTAGTATTCTGTTCATGGAGGCACTCTAAGAAATCTATCACTCAGTCTAAGGAGGAATTTATAAGCTCAAACCTTTTTTCTATATTAGCCGCTTTGCAATGTACGGGGCATTATTCAAGCAGGAATACATTTGCAACATGCTATATGTTTTCTATGAATTTTGATAGCAGCTGAGGAAATTTTCTAACATGAACTACTCAGAAGGATGCAGATGTCTCTGGACATTTTGTTTTCGGGCTAATGTAAAACACTTTACAGCTTGTTTTTCATCGAAATGGCTTCTCAGCTTATTAAGTTTGACTTATTTTAGGCTGTCAATGTTCAGTACAAATTAGCACGGTCAAACCTAAAGATATAACCCCCCCTCTAGGGAGTTTTCTTTCTTTGTTTTGCTATGCGTTAGCTTTAAGTAACTGCTGTGCAATCTGCATGATGAGGACAGTTTTGTTACAGTTCGTTACAATTAGTACATTTCTGACACAGAATCTGGTGTCTTTTCTTCTTCTGATAGTCGGTGCAGGCTCTGAACTCTGAGCAGAGTTTCCTGCAGTGCAGAGAGGTTGATTGCTCTCCCCAGGGCAGCATCCGTCCAACCCAATCAGCACCAGCTATCTGCCTCTCAGAGGAACGCTGCGCTTACTTCAGCTGTTGATTTCCAATGAGTCCCGGCCTCTCGGAGTTATTTGCATGTTAACTTTGCGCCTTTGATCCCCCACGGTACAAAAAAAAACGAGCCATGAAAGCACGAAGGAAGATAAGTGAACGCTAGCATTTGGATTTTTAAGATATTATGCAAATCTTTCTGCCACTTTGGGGAAGTTTAATTTAGACCTCATTCACTGCTGTGAAGTTGTGACAGAAGGTGTTTGTTTCATTACTTTCTGGAAGTGCAAAATCCAACGGCGGCTTCGGCTGTGCGTTTTTCAGATGAAAACGGCTCGCTGAAGGAGACAGAAAAACACCTTCAGACTTGTTATAATAAGGTGGTTACAGAGACTGAAACCATTTTGTATTAAAAGCTTAAAGCGACTAAGTGGAAATGAGAGGTTTCAGCAAATAAATGGAGGCAAAAAATGCTTAGGAATGCACTTCACCAGAGATGCTCCAAAATAGAAAATAAAATAGTCACAATAATCCCAAAAAGTGCTTTCTTGCAGCAGACTGCCCATTATGCTTACACAGTTTGTTACTTTGCTTCCTCCTATCTTATATTTCTGTCATAAGACCTAGTACTTTGTGGAAAATTGTCAATCGATGTATATGAAACCTAAGCTTAAAGCCTTTTGACATGCATGGATTTACTAGCAGGGCCACACAGAGACGAACAAGACAGACAGCCACACACCGTGGCTCCTACAGGCAGGTTACAGTCGCCAGTTAACCTTAGATGCATGTTTTTGGACTGTGGGAGGAAGGCAGTGAACCCAGACGTGCACTTTTGGGAACGCGCAAACTCACACGCATGAATTTTCACTTCACAGCAAATGGACTCAGAAACCCTCTGTTGTTCGGGTACCGTTAAAGTTAAAGGCCAAAGAAAAAGGTCATCAAGCAAGGGTTTTAAAAGACAATTATATGAAGAGCAGAGATACTTTAAGCCTTAACACAGGGAAGTCCATGGAAACATGGGTCTATAGAAACTCTGGTATATATGAGACCAAAACAGCCCACTGACTGTCAAAGCTTTTTAATAGCTTTGGTTGTTGGTATCTTTTTTTTTTTTTTCCTCCCCCAAGTGTTAAGCAAAACTCTGAAATGAAGTATTGATTGCATGCCTGTCTAAATGAAGGAGCCGTTTTATTTATCATTCCCCTTCTTTGAAACCCACATTAGATCCACCACCGCCCCTTTAAGAAAAAAACAGCAGTCTCTGTTTAGTTTGAAGCCCTTTGGAGAGTCTTCTGCACCGGCGATCAATAGCCGCTCGGGCAGGGGCTGGAGATGATGACATCAATTACCAGTTGGATCAAGCTGATAAGTTAGAGTCCTTCCGGTAACGACAGCTCGCCTCTCCGTCAGCGTGTACAGGAAGTAAGGTTGTCTCATTTGAAATGAGGGATTCGAAGGATGATCCTGCCACAGAACATGGCTTTAATTACCCACAGGGATCTTCCTGCTAATTGCCGCGTCTCTAAAAAGGCCAATACATGTTTTCCCCTTATCCTCTGACATGCCATGATCTGAGGATTTCATTAGAGGACTCTCTAAGACCGGATACTTTCTCTGGGGTTCTGTTTTCTTTGATTTGAGTTTCTTTTGCAACGTACATTTTTTAAGTGACTATGATGGAAATCTATTTTTTTGATAATGTCCTACCACAAGTTTTCTGGTTTCAGTTTGGAAATGGGCCCCCAAAAATATTCCTCAGATTCTGTGGAGTCTTTGTCCTTCTGTAAAGACAAATAAACCTGAATATTCAGGCTTAGTTAAGAACACTTGTGGTTTAATGCATTGCTGCTCATTTACCCAACTGTTGATACACTAAACACTTGAACTCTCTTTTTCATGGGCTTTATGACATTATCAATAATGGCCTGATGAGAAAAAAGCTGAACATAAAACCCTCATTTGTCACCTGAAGCAGTAGACTTTTACAGCACAAAAACATCAGTAAGTAGCATTTATCAGTTTCTTTCTGCCGGGCTGCAGTTTTAAAGCAGCCTGACTCTGATTTTCCCCTATTTTTCCTTTGAATCCTTTGGCCCGTCCCCACTCGGATTGTTCCTCTGGGCGGATATTTGTGCATTCTGAGAGGACGGGCGTCGGCAGGTGTTGCAGCTTTTAGTTTTCTCGGTCTTCATGTTTTGTGGGTAAAGACGCCGCGGGTCACAGGGGACCGCACAAAAGGAGCTGACAGCAAACACGACCCCTTTTTAAAAAGCTGAAATGGGATTGATTCCTGCACTCTTGTTGCTTAGCAACTGCAAAGCCTTGTTGAGAGAGAATATTGACCTCTTGTTGATAAAGTCCAATTACATTTTTTTTTTCTTTTTGCCTCCACTTTGTATCGCCAAAGATTTTGCAATGTCATTTTTTTTTTTCTTACCCCGCTTGTGCAAAATGCCTTATTTTGTCCTGCGATAAAGCGGCACGGCGGTGTTCTCCTGCTCCCGCAGCCCGTGACCAAAGCGCCGTTTGAACGTGATCCATTTTGTGGAGCACGAATTGGGTTAACAAGGCCTCTCATTTGGGCCAACTAGTTTCTGTTGCTCATTTAGTCCAATGAACACGTCTTTAGACCTCCCCGTAGCTAAATTGCCCCAGAGATGCCACAGGCAAAACTCGCAACGCGGCTAAAAATGCAATTTGGACGCAGCCTAAAAAAAAAAAACGTTGCCCGGTCCAATGGGCCTGCGGATGAAAATTGATTTGTAAAATTCATTTAGATTCTCTCCCCCTGTTGGTTGATGCAGTCTCAAAGCATGAACATGCTGAGCTGGGTCCAGGCTGTAATTACCAATTATCAAGTGCTTATCAGCTAGCCGGTTCTGGAGCGTTCTGGAAGGTTCCGGAGGGTTCTGGAGGGTTCTGGTGTGGTGTTAAGGAGGTGTGCAGTGAGAAAGAATCTGTCTTAGCTCAGGTTCAGTCAGGTGGGCCAGAGCTGCTGTCACAGGGGGAAAAGCCACTGCTCTGTGTGTTTTATGACTCAACTTAATCATTTTGGTTATATTCTTGGGCCTAGTCTGCGGCACAGGGTTTTAGGGTGTGGGAATCAAATGCATCAGCTTCATTTTTTACTTTTCCACAGAACACGTGTGCTCCGTCATCGCCTCCATGCTGAGGAATCTCAAATCCCAGCAGAGAACCAGACTCCTGAACAAGTTCACAGAGAACGACTGCGAGAAGGTTGGTTTATTGGGATGTTTTCTTCCTTTTTGTTTTTAATCCACTGTTACCGAGTTCTTGAACTGTTTGTTTCTTTGCCATCAAAGCTTTTGTTGCAGAAGAATGTGTCGTCCCTGGAATTAAAGCAGCTTCTTCTCATTTCTGAATGAAAACAAACACATAAATGCCTCTTTCAGCTTCCTACTGATGGTAGAGGGGTGCCACGAGGAAGCCGCTTTCTCTCCTAATTGCCTAATATTCCACAATTCAGCATTTGTTAGGGTTAGAATTCAACCCATTAATCACCTTTTGGTGGCATTTTCAATGTGTTTCTTCCTGAATTTGAACTAAGCCACAAATTTGTCGGGCTGTTATTTTTTCTCTCAATTTTATTTCTAAAGCAGAACCCAGGTTGAGAAGTCTGCATTTGTCTTTCTGGTCTTTATCGGGCCTGTTTTTTTCTAACATGCCAGTGAAATGCATTCTGGTATTAACATTGTATAATCCACCGTATAGCCGACATGCATCATGAAGCCGATGGCAACAACGAGCTGTTAATGTTCTCCTCAAAGATCATTAAATCGCTACTCTGAGATTATTTAATGTTTTCTGCATTTATCAAAGGGGGTATATTTCTGTTTTTGCCCTCCAGAGTTTCATATTGTTCGGCTTCTGCTTTGTACTCTCCTTTCCCTTCATGTTTCACTTATTTTCACTTTGCTTTCTTGTCTGCTGCATCCCTCACCTTACCACCGTCTGCCCCTGTTCCATTCTCTCCTCAGGTTGATCGGCTAATGGAGTTGCATTTTAAGTACCTGGAGGCTGTTCAACAGGCTGACAAGAGGATCGAAGGGGAGAAACATGTAAGCGTGTCTCCTTTTTTCCTTCCCCCCCCTCCACCCTTCCCTGCCTCATTCTCAGTCTGTTCCCACCCTATTCCTGCCCGTGCAGCCTTTTGATAGTCTTACTTCAGGCTTACTGGAGTGTTGGATCCACAGGAGACATGATGTTTACTTTATAGATTAAAAAATCAAAGTCAGACATGTTTTGTGTCTTTACTTCCTGTTTTGGAAGCAGTTGGAAACGTCTGTCTTTATTTCCTAAGCGTGTTTTTTCGGTTTTCGTCCTTTGATTTTTGTGTTTCGATCGACTTATTTGGTTTAAAATCTGAAATCGGGCAGCTCCGGTTTCTATAGGACGACAGTTAAGGCCATCATTTGGAATCCAGCCCCCTGCTTTCATTATGCCCCCATCACAATAACTAACCACAAACTTTCAGATTGCATTATAGATGTTGAGACATCTGCTGGCATCCCCGTTATAAAGTGGAATGTCAAGGAAATGTCATCTCCCTGCAGTAGATAAGGTGCTCAGTTCTGCACAGTGTCCCATCCAAAGCCACCGGGGGGAGAACCTAAAATACCATCACAGTCCCGCTGATAACAATATGACAGTTTACAGAGGGATGGAAAGCTTGATGGCTCGGCGCGAGAGCTCCGTGGAGCTGTCTGTGTGGGTCTGTGTCAGTGCGCTGAGCTGTGTGTTACTCAGGGATACAGATGGAAGATAAGTGACCTGGCAGGGTATAATGGCCCGAAAAGAGAAGTCCCGTCTTCGGAAAGCCGACGAATGAGAAATTACTGTAAATACCGGAGAAGGTGGTAAAAGAGGTAAACAAAGGCATTGAGAGAACGAAGAAGGAGCTTGAGTGAAAAGGGGAATGACAAGAGAGAGGGAGGTGTGGGCGGAGACGGATAAGTGGGAGATTCCTATCTAAAGATGACAGAAGATTAATTTCTTAGACAGACAGCGAGGTGGGATTGCCGAGAAAAGGCCAGACAGTTTGACATTCTCCCCCCCTCCGCTTCCCCTCTCCCCCCTTTCTCCCCCCCCGCTGTCGCTCCCTCCTCTCTTCCTGCGGGACGGCAAAAGTGTGGCTTCGCGATAACCTGCCGATAAGAAACCGTGCCCATGTGTGCAGCTATCTTTGAAGCCACATTGTTAGCTCTCCCCAGTTCAGAGGCTTTCCGGGAGCCAGACACACACGAGGCGAGCAGCGATAAAACACAGCCGGGTATTTGGGGGCCGAGCAACACCTCGCTATTTGTCATACACCTTAGAAAAATTGCTTTTGAGAAAAGGCGCGCCTTATCAATCTCCGACCGTTCCGGGTTCCGGAGTTAAGGCGGTGCGTGTGAATATGAAGATTGCAAATCTCAGCAGATAAGGTGGACGATGCTGAAGCCTGCAGCCGGGGGAAGACTCGGGCTCGCTTTGGTTAAGTTAAGTTAAGTTAAGCACTGACAGGATTAAAATGATCGGGATTGCTCAGATCTGACGAGCAAAGACTGTTTACCCTCATTAATCTGCTCTGAATATTTCTCCGTGCAGATTATTGTCATCGTTATGATGAAATTACCGTCTTAACTGAGCCCAGTATAAGATGACCACCATGTAGAGGTTCATTATCGTGCTTTTTTGAAGAAAAATAGTTTATCTTGCTGACTGGTTGTGATGTAATTTACATTTTTTGGATGAAAACTGCTGTTGCACCATATCAACATATTCCATATTCCGCTGAGATAAAGGCTGTGACTTAACTCCTGCTGATAAAGGCCAATACTGAGACACCTAAATAGTATTTTGAGATAGCATGAGTGAAAGCCCTCCCCCCCCACCACCCATCAAATGCCACGGTATGTTAAAGGAGCCGATAAAGATGCCAACCCAGTTCTGTCCGGCCGAAGCAGCTAGCGTCAGCGGCGGCGTTTATCTGTCTCCGCCGTGTCTTTTGGTTTCCCCTAGTTAAGCCTGTTTTTAAGGGGCGGTAAGCAAAATGTTTTTCCTCTGCAACATATTATCCGCAGATTTCTCTGGAGGATCCCAAAGCAAAAGCTGCTGCTGCTGCTTTTTCCTGCATCTCCATCCCAGCTCCTTTAATAAGTAGCTTATTTTCTTCCCACCTTTGCAACTCCCTCCTCTCCCCTCTTTCCATCCTTTTCATTTGCTTTCTCTTCTGTAAGATTGCTTTTGCATCACGCTGTGTATGTCTCAGTTTTATAATCCCTTCTTCACCGTCTTTCATTTCTCTCTCTGTAATATTTGCATCCTCCACTTTTATTAAGCACCTTATTTCCTTTCAGTTTTCATTCTTCCTCCCCTCTCGTCTAAAACATTCTCCTTAATCACGTCTTTTCTGCCTCCTTTTATCTAATATTTCTTCTGCCTCACTGCTGCTTTTTTTTCATTAGTCTGGTAGATTCTTTTCTTCCTCTCTCTCTCTTCCAGTGCTTTAAGCTTTTCCCACCTCCTCTACTCCTCGACCTTCCCTCTGTTCTCAGCATTTTGGTAACAGCTCTTTGAGACTGATGAAGCTCAGCAAAACACGGCTGTGGCTGACCTCAATACTGTAAAATGCCTCAGTGCACTTTCCTACCACCTAAGAACTCAGCGGGGTGATGTATTTCTTGTGTGGAAGCGTGAGGGAAGGTGTGCATCCTCCTCTGTGTCGGAGCAGGAGCGTGCAGAAGAAAGGGCCTGGGTTAGTTTTTAGGTAACAGCAGACGGTTTCAAAGTTTGAATTGACTTTGCTTGAAGGGTTTATGTTTAATTGTTTCAAGAATATGGTCTGTAGTGAAAAAAAACTAATAGTCACACTTTGTCTTCCCATCATCTCTCATTCTTTCATTAAAAAAAGTCCATATTCATTTGTTTTTTATATTCTTTTTTTTTTTTTTTTTATTTTTTTTTTTTTTTTACATAAACTGGTTTGTTTCAGTTTTAAAATATTTTCGCTCTCAGAGAAGGTTTGTTCAACTTGTGTGTCAAAGCTAAAAAGACTTATGAGCAGTAAGTTTCTGCTGACATTGTTTCGCCGAAGTTTAAAGTCATACAAGGCTGGAAGTTTTCCAAAAGTGCAGGAATGAATTAAAAACTAATCCCAGGTTAACTCGATATGATTACTCCATCTTTTGGAGACATGTTTCAGTCTTTAGTCGCCCATCTGTGTTAAAACGTTTGAATGGAAATGACAGGAATTACAGGAATGGCTGAAAATCTGCAGACTCATGCTTAGAGTAAACCAGTCTGCAGTCAGCTGTCCAGCAAATCAACTGCCCGGTCTTAAGAGTGGAGACTTGCGTTTTGCTGTGTAGAGTCGTCTTCTTTTTTTCCAGTCATTAGTAACGTCTTCATCGTTGCCCTCTGACGTCTGCAGGCCTAAATTTAGAAGCTGTAGGGAGCCGTGCTGGTGCTCTGAAAGGCAAGATGGGACAACAAAATCAGTGCTTGCTTGAAGATATACTCTGGATCTGAGGTGCATAAAGAAAATTTCTAGTGCTATATGATTTCTCACTGTTCGGCTCCACAAATGGAGTGCCTGTCTGCCCAGCCCACCACAATTACAGGCTCCGCAGTGCCGCCTCCCTGAGCCTTCCCGACAGAGTCATGGAGACAACAATGGTCATGTTGCTATTGTGACACTTTAGAAGATAAATTACCTAAAGTACAGACGGGTTCGCTATGCTTAGGCAACCATAGAAACGCCGAAAGAACGTGTCAAAGATCAGGAAAAAGAAGCTGCAGAGGCATTGGAAAAAAAAAAAGTCTTCCACTTTGCAGGATTTTAACTTTTGGACCAAGCTCAGCACAGTCTGAACATGTCGGTGGAAAATGCCTCCCCTGTCCCAGAAACACTGCCGTCTTTTCCTTGCCCCACTTTGTGAGCAAATCCTAATTGATAAGCCCCCAAAAGCACAGCGCTTTGTGAAATCAGCAAGTTCCCTCGCAAAGCTGTAGATTTCTCGTTAAAGTTTCCCCTATTATCAACTTCTGTTTGTATATGTGTGGTAATAAGGCAATCCTATCTGGGTTCCTTGTGTTTGCTTAAGCCTCATAAAGAGCGTCACATCACAGGCACACACACACACACACACACACACACACACACACACACACACACAC